TGCGATCAGACCCCATGCATCCGAAGAAGTGGGCTGTAGCCCACGAAAGCTTATGCTCTAATAAATTTGTTAGTCTCTAAGGTGCCACAAGTACTCCTGTTCTTTTTGCGGATACAGACTAACACGGCTGCTACTCTAAAACCACTTATTAAAGAATCAAACAAGCAGCTTCACACTTTCCCGCATGCTGCCCCTCACATCTGGGGGAAATTCCCCATAAATATCAACAAAACTCATGATCCTCCTTCAAAACCCTCTTTAAAACTCTCCTTTGCCATGAAATCTACTGGTCCACGATCAGGGCTCCTAGGCACTATGGTAATAGTAATTAATAATAAAGGTGGCATAGTGGCCAGTGCCACAAGGCTTTAGCTGGGTTGAGCAGTCCCTCATTTGTAAGAAGAGTGATTTTGCCTGGAACAGCAGTTGTCAAAATATCTAATTGATGAGATTTCTCCGATACTATTGATATTTCCATCTCCGGAATCTCTGAAATTCTCATAAGGAGCTCTTAGAATGACTCATCCAGTGCCGCTGTTGGTGCCAAAGATATTACTTTGCCAGGCAACGACAGTGAGAGGTCTTTTGGTGGCAAAGTAGGATGCTGGTGTTGCTTGGTCCCTAGGTCTGATCTTTATGGTGGTCTTTCCTGTCTGGTGTATATGGTCTGGCCAGCAAAGCTGATATACAAAGGGGTCTGATTCTTCTCAAGTGTGAAGACCAGCTCCTAGTGGCTTGAGATGGCAGACCCCCAGTAAGCCCTGTAGGGGCATGGCAGCTGCCACAGAGATATGGCTGGCTAGCATGATATTGCCAGTCCAATACCATGTGTGTTGAGATGGCGATTGAGTCCTGGAGGAAGAGCCAGCAAGCCTTTCTGTGATATTGATCACGGATCACAGAGAGGCTTCTCTGCTCAAAGATGGGGAGAATGTACTTCAGGTGATGGAGAGCAGAAACAGGCCTCCTATATCGCAGCAATGTGGAATATAGTACCTGGCGCCAGCGACTGCATTAGTACCAGCAAGTACCTCAATGCCAATGACAGCCCTCCTCTTTCAGAGGTTTGTCACGTGCTACAGGCGTCGATGTTGCGGGGTGTGGTGCCAGATCCGGGGTCAATGCCTGAAGAGTCTTCTTCAGTGCCACAGGCTACTCCTACTCACCAGCCTTCGACACTATCTGGTGCTTAGTAGATTTGTCTCCACAGGCTTTGTGTCATCCGTCCTTCTGTAAAGACAGTGAGTTCCATCTAGAGTCTACCTCTGTGTTCAGAGTGGCCCCTCTCAAAGCAGGACTTCAGTACCGGAGGTGTTGGTGTTGGCTAAGGCACTAGTGGGGCATGCTTTAAAGCTAGAGTACTTGTGCTGTTGTCAATGCTAGGTCTTTTCTCAGCACTGTCTTCTCTGTGCTGACCTTTGGGGTTGCTTGCCTACTGGATGGGCCACTGGATTAAGTTGGTTTGTCCGCTCTTGGTGCTCTGGTGCCCATCTCCTCCGGATCTGAGGAGACCTTCACAGATTGCCCCAGGAGGGGAAGCTTCAACCACGCATCACATGACCGACTTGTTCTTGCGATGAAAGAGAGGTGTACTGAACATGTGGGACTCTCCTAAATAGAAGAGAAGAGGCACCTGCTGTGTCCATGTTTCTAAGTAATTAGTCCATCACAGGACCTGTAGGGCTTGAAGCCCACAGGTTTTGAATCTACTGTATTGAGGCAGTCCAGTACTTGGGCTGGAGAATACAGGTGGCTCTGATCATCAGTACTCAATCCAGATGGGTCAAAGATGTTCGTGGTGGTCATATATCAGAAGTGTTCTGAAGAATTTTGAAAAGTTTTGAGAGGTTTTGCTGGAGCTAAAAACTAGTGGTTGGAAGCTTCCCAGATTCCATCGCACTGCCATGAGTAGTAAGAGGGAACTGAGGGAAGGTCACAGACATACTGCCCTTTATACCCCAGTATAGGAGCATTGGGAGTCAGAGGTTGCGTATGCAGCACCGACAGACACTGGCATTCAAAAAGACTCTGATTTTGTGTGCATGAGGCACATGCGTACGTATAGTGGGATCCACGCTGACATACGCAAAGAAAAATCATCAGTTAATATAGTCATTTCAAGCAACTTCATATAAAAGTTATGAGTGAAATCCCGACCCCACTGAAGTCCATGGGAGTTTGGCCACTGACATCAATGGAGCGAGGATTGCATCTTCCTACCCTGGCCACACACATACCAAAATGCAGTGTACTTTATAGTTGTGCAGGAATAGCAAATAACCATAGGAAAATTACCATGTTGAAGTAAGATCGAATTTTGACCCCTCTGGCCAAATCCCAAACTATGACATTTCCATCATGGCCAGCAGAGAAGAGAACTCTAGGATCAAATGGGTGAGGCTCAAGTACAAACACTTCATCCTCATGTCCCTGAAATAAAAAATATATATCTTTTAAAAAAGATTTGGTAAGAGTTTAGAGAAGAATGTTCCACAAATACATACAGAAATACTTACCACTATTACACTATCTGCAGCATACACATCTGAATAATGATATAATGATGAGAAACTGACAAATGTCTAATGTTCAACAGCAGTTTTGGCAACTCTCTTGGATGGCTTTTCGTAACTCTTTGTTGTACCTTTATATTATATGCTTCTCTTTCTCCAGTGACAATTTTAAATAGAAATGTGTAACTATCAGTTAAATCACTATTAACATTTTTGCAATGAATTTAGAAGCCCAGAGGGATGGAAATAACACTCTTAAAAACTCTTACTCATATTTTAGAAATTTTAACCTCTTGCAGAGTTCATTCTACATTATATGTGCAACTGTTCAAAAAATATCTAGTAAAGAACTAGTTCAGTAATTAGGATAAGATTTTAGGCTATGTAAAGAATTAGTACCCTAAAAGTAGAAATCTATTCAACAAGCTCCAAGCATTTCGTTTCACCAATGGCATCAAATTATATGCAGGAGCTACTCATTTTGTAATTAAGTTTTTAAAAAAATCTTTAATTTTAATGTAGAACAGGAAAGTAGTATAATTAAATACATGCATATTTTTTCATGCCTAAGGAATGATGAGGTCATGATAAGGTTTGATATTTGTGTTAAGATATGGGTACTTGATTCTGAGTTTCAATTTTGTATTTCTAATTTTGGGTTGAGGAGCAACTGCTGACTCAGTGTATTACATAACTACTTTTTATTTTATGGCAAATGGTGTCTAGAACCTGAAAAAGATACATTTCATTGCAGGAAAAAATGGAAACTGGTGGCTGTGAGAATGGTGCCCTGCAATACTGCATAAGAAACCCATGTTCAATTTCTGGGTTTCACAAAGGATCTCACAAAACTGGGTGACTGGGCAACAAAATGGCAGATGAAATTTAATGTTGATAAATGCAAAGTAATGCACATTGGAAAACATAATCCTAACTATACATATGCAATGATGGGATCTAAATTAGCTGTTACGACTCGAGGAAGAGATCTGGAGTCACTGTGGATAGTTCTCTGAAATCATCCACTCAATGTGCAGCGGCAGTCAAAAAAGCAAACAGAACGTTGGGAATCATCAAGAAAGGGATAGGTAATAAGACAGAAAATATCATATTACCTCTATATAAATCCATGGTACGCCCACACCTTGAATACTGCATGCAGATGTGGTTGTCCCATCTCAAAAAAATATATTGAAATTGGAAAAGGGCAACAAAAATGATTAGGAGTATAGAACGGCTTCTGTATGAGGAGAGATTAATAAGACTGGGACTTTTCAACTTGGAAAAGAGGCGACTAAGGGGGAATATGATAGAGGTCTATAAAATCATGAGTGGAATAGAGAAAGTAAATAACGAAGTGTTATTTACTCCTTCTCATAAAGAAGAACCAAGGGCCACCAAATGAAACTAATAGGTAGCAGGTTTAAAACAAATACAAGAAAGTATTTTTTTAAAGCAATGCACTGTCAACCTCTGGAACTCCTTACCAGAGGGTGTTGTGAAGGCCAATACTATAACGGGGTTCAAAAGGGAGCTAGATAGATTCATGGACGATAGGTCCGTCAATGACTATTAGCCAGGATGGGCAGAAATGGTTTCCCTAGCCTCTGTTTGCCAGAAGCTGGGATTGGGTGACAGGGCATGATGATGACTTGATGATAACCTGTCTGTTCATTCTCTTTGGGGCATATGCCATTGGCCACTGTCAGAGGACAGGATACTGGGCTTGATGGACTTTTGGTCTGACCCAGTATGGCCGTTCTTATGGGTACAAGAGTCTCTTTGGACACCAGATCCCCAAGTATTCTAGGTGAGAGAAAGCAAGCTTGTGTTGTTGTGCAAGCTATTATGGTCTCTATTAATGTGTTTGTACACACACATATACATTTTATATATGTATTTAGATATTAGCTACTGGTGGTGAGTGGAGACCTAGCAATGGTATTCACCTCTTCTTATTTTCAGATACAAGGATACATTAAAAGACAACTATAAATACACTACTTTCTTAATAGTTTTTCAAATAGACAGTTGTTGTAGTTACCACAGGGACTTTATGCAAATATTGCTGGAAAAGCAGATGGTCCATGAGAGAATCTAGTAAAAATGTGGTCAAACAAAAAAAAGACCCCCTGCAGCAGAGATCCTAATCTGGATTATTATTCAGAATCTCCTCCAACCAGACTAGAGCAATATCACTGTTCACAAATCGCATGTATTTTGGGGACTGAAAAGCCCATATTAGTCCCCATATTTTTTTTTCCTGCTTAACATTACCCTGTGACTGAAATGCATTAGCACCATTCATTTTAATCTTAAAATTTATCAATCTTCTTCATTCTTCAACCACAAGTGTCTACATAACTGCAGAATTTTAAGTCTAAATTCAATAATTATATTTAAAGGTCTGTAATATTTCTCTATGTAGGTATCATTCCTACTACTTCAATAAAAAATACTTAAGTTTCTAAAATGCTGCCATGATTGTTGGGTTTCCCACATACCCTCAGGAAGACATTCTGGTTAATGCTGACATTCTAATTATGGGAATCATCCTATCAAAGTTTCAATTATATTCATTTTAATCTATAATTTAGTATCACTTGCAACTCCCCTTGATTTCCTATACAACTTGTATTTGTATATAGACAAAAGTATATTACTATGAAAATGTACTTAATTAATACTTCAATTATGCATCTTCTATTCAAGAAATATCTGGGTCTTCCATCTTATTTTTCAAGCTGGAAGTGAATGCTATATTTGGAGGTCAGCAAAAGCTCACCCATATCTTTCTTCTACTTAAAGACCTCCATAACAAGCCTTGCCAATTTTGAACATAAAACAAAAAACACACACACACACGCACACACACTACCATTGGCACCCTGTCTACGCAAATTAAAATCTAATCCACACAGATGCCTGCTAATATTAACCGACAAAAGATGATTTTAAAGAAACATAACAGTGATTTAAAATTTAAAAATTTAGAAACTATTATTTCAAAAGCAAACTGTCTCTGCAAGGAGGGCACGTGAAGAACAATTTTGGCTCCATCCTCATTGACAATGTTACTTTAGGTTCACAGAGGATTGGGCCAAAAGAAACCTGATGAGGTTCAACAAGGACAAGTGCAGAGTCTTGCACTTAGGACGGAAGAATCCCATGCACTGTTACAGACTAGGGACCGAATGGCTAGGAAGCAGTTCTGCAGAAAAGGACTTAGGGGTTACAGTGGACGAGAAGCTGGATATGAGTCAACAGTGTGCCCTTGTTGCCAAGAAGGCTAATGGCATTTTGGGCTGTATAAGTAGGGGCATTGCCAGCAGATCGAGGGACGTGATCATTCCCCTCTATTTGACATTGGTGAGGCCTCATCTGGAGTACTATGTCCAGTTTTGGGCCCCACACTACAAGAGATGTGGAAAAATTGGAAAGAGTCCAGCGGAGGGCAACAAAAATGATTAGGGTGCTGGAGCACATGACTTATGAGGAGAGGCTGAGGGAACTGGGATTGTTTAGTCTGCAGAAGAGAAGAATGAGGGGGGATTTGATAGCTGCTTTCAATTACCTGAAAGGGGGTTCCAAAGAGGATGGATCAAGACTGTTCTCAGTGGTACCAGATGACAGAACAAGGAGTAATGGTCTCAAGTTGCAGTGGGGGAGGTTTAGGTTGGATATTAGGAAAAACTTTGTCACTAGGAGAGTGGTGAAGCACTGGAATGGGTTACCTAGGGAGGTGGTGGAATCTTCTTCCTTAGAGGTTTTTACGGTCAGGCTTGACAAAGCCCTGGCTGGGATGGTTTAGTTGGGAATTGGTCCTGCTTTGAGCAGGGGGTTGGACTAGATGATCTCCTGAGGTCCCTTCCAATGATTCTATGACAGTCACAGAAGAATTTAAAGCTACTTAAATTTCTTGTATGTAATTATTTCCTTAACTTTCTGCCTTGTTATACAAATCTATAAAGATATTCTAAAATAATCTATGATGGATATGTGAGTTACAGTATACTGAGTAAAACTGCCACTCTTATTTTACTTACCATAAGGACATGAATAAGCTGGCCAGTGAAAGAATTCCAAACCTTCAGAGTCATGTTATTAACTGCAGTTATAACAGAGTTGTCATGGCGGTCCCACGCCACCATAGTTACTTTCAGTTTTGTGATTTTGTCTTCTACTCCTTGTACACTTTGTCTAAAAGTAAACAGCAGAGAAGAGTTTTCAAAATAATGAGTCTGAGTTAGCCAAAATCTTTGGTGCATCAAGAAACTTGTCTGATAAAAAGAGAGTTCACTCATCAAAGATTTTAAAATGTTTTTTGTGTTTTGGTTTATCATCAAAAGTAATGTGTTTCTTCAATACTGCGGACAAATGAGATCAGAAGTACATGATGGAAATGTTATATACAATAATGCCTGCTGGACAGGAAAAAAGCATTTAAAGTAAATATTGCTTAAAGTAACGACTAAAATGAGGTTCTAACCATCAACAGCAACAGAAATTCCACAGGCCAAACCATAGCCCATCTCGGCAATTTGTGTCTTCAGATAATGACCTCTGATACCAGTGCAAACCCATTTAAGGTTAATGGAGCAACACATATATCAGACAGCAAAATCTGAAGACAAAATGGTTGCAAAGTGGACAACAGTCTGGCCTGCAGAGCCTATGTTATTGGTGATTATGAATACAGAAAGAACACAGCGTTATCGTCAGACTTTAGGGTGAGATTGTAGGGCTGATACTAGGAAAAAGACAACTTACTCCAAATGAGCCCATTTGATATGAAAATCTATGAGATAATAGACACGGTACTCTATAACACCATTTTTATACAGTAATTTTTAGGACAGAACCTCACTTTAAAGGCAATGGGTGAAATCCAAAGTCTCCTGATGTCAATGGCAAAATGCACAAAATGGCGCCAGGATTTCACCCACTGTTTAGAGCAGGGGTGGGCAAACTTTTTGGCCCAAGGGCCACATCTGGGTATGGAAATTGTATGGCGGGCCATGAATGCTCATGAAATTGGGGGTTGGGGTGCGTGAGAGGCTAAGGGCTCCGGCTGAAGGTCCGGGCTCTGTGGTGGGGCCAAAAATGAGGAGTTCAGGATGTGGGAGGGGGCTCCGGGCTGGAGCAGGGCAGGGGGTTGGGATGTGGAAGGGGGGGTGAGGGCTCCGGCTGGGGGTACAGACTCTGGGGTGGGGCTGGGGATGAGGGGCTGGGGGTGTAGGAGGGTCCTCTGGGCTGGGACCAAGCGGTTTGGATAGCAGGAGGGGGATCAAAGCAGGGGATTGGGGTGCGGGAGGGGATCAGGGATGCAGGCTCCAGGCGGCGCTTACCTCAAGCAGCTCCCAGAAGCAGCGGCATATTCCCCCTCCGGCTCCTAGATGGAGGCGCAGCCAGGTGGCTCAGCGAGCTGCCCTGTCTGCAGGCACTGCCCCTGCAGCTCGCATTGGCCATAATTCCCAGCCAAAGGGAACTGCGGAGCCCCTTGGCTGACCCTCTGCATAGGAGCCGGAAGGGGGACATGCTGCTGCTTCCGGGAGCTGCGCGGAGCCACAGCACATGCGGAGCGGGACAAGCCCCCTGCTGGAGTGCTGGAGCGGAGCAAGCCCCCGGCTGGAGAGGGGCAAGCTCCAGACCCCGCTCCCCGGCAGGAACTCGAAGGCCAGATTAAAACGTCTGAAGGGCCAGATGTGGCCCCCGGGCCGTAGTTTCCCCACCCCTGGTTTAGAGCCCTTGTCTGCTTTTTGTTGTAACAAGGTTCAGAGTTTAAGGCTAGAATGGACCACTAGATCATTCAGACTGACTTCCCGTATATCACAAGAACACCAACACCACCCAGCACCTGCACACTAAACCCAAGAACCAAAATGAGACCAAAATATTACAGCCCACAGGAGACTAGACTATTATGTACCACAGGCAGAGAATAGGAAGGTCAAGTGGCCAAGGCCCCCACAAGGCAGGAAAATGATTAAATAAGGTATATACCAGATACACCTGGTGACCCACACCTAAACATCACAGAGAAAGGCAAAAAACACTCAAGGTTACTGTCAGTCTGACTTGGGGGAAAATTCCTCCTGGAATCCACATATGGCTATCAATTAGACCCCAATTCCAGAAGCAAGAATTAGTCAACCAAGCACCTCAGAGAGAGATTGCTCGGTGCCATCTCAGAGCCCTTGCTCACTCCATCCAAAGTCACATCCGCAGCTGAGGGCATCCCTGATACTTCACAGGAAGCAGATTAAAAAAAACCTGCAGAATACATGCCCCTTCCCCTGAATCCCTTCCTGTACACCACTGAAATACAAAAATTGACATTCTGCCATGTTGTGATCTGAAATAAGTTTATTAAGCATTTATGATTTGGTTTGCATGAGTTTCTTAATATTTCAGGTTTGACCAATTTTAAGCCATCACCCTAGATATTCCATCAATGAATTAATAATATTAGATTACGCCTCAGTAAGGAAAAAGTGCTCCGTACCTCAGCATTTTTAACAAGACAGGCTTTAAAAAAAAAAAACCACATAGTTGTAGCTCTAGAACTTACCACTAATAACTTGACATCTAATCACTCCACCCAATTTGTTAATGCTTTACTCCATGTAAGAATATAAGAATGGCCATACTGGGTCAGACCAGTCCTGTCTTGAGGTCCATCTAGCCCAGTATCCTGTCTTCCGACAGTGGCCAATGCCAGGTGCATCAGAGGAAATGAATAGAACAGGCAATTATCGAGTGATCTATCATGTTGTCTACTCCTGGAGAATAGCTTAAATAAACTGAAATCTGTTTTCTCAACAAAACACTTTCTTCATTGTACACACACTACTTTATTACTATAGAGTTGCGTATGAGTGGAGTGTTAAGGCCATATTTTACCAACTTAGCATTGAAGTTTTTACTTTGGGGAACTGAGCTTAGCCTTAAACTCTATGAGACTTGTTTATTACAGGTCACAAGACATTATGCGGACTCAAAAGAGAAGGATGCACTTTGGACCTATTAAGCTTTCCTTATAAAAATACAGTGAATTTAGTGATAGTGAAAGGTGTTGAACCTTGAAAACAAATTTTCTATAAGGATTCATGTGACAGATAACGTACCGACAATCTGTGGCACACTCTTGGCTTGCATCAATGTATCTCAAAACCATGCCTACTTGATCACTAGCTTCTCTGATGACACTGTCAACTACTGGCCATTTGTGATTATATATGCATGATGCAGACATGTGTCCATGAAAAAAAAAGAACAGAAAAGGATCACCAACTCATTTAATACAGACAACTTGAGAGCTGACTGTCAAACTGGATTCCTAGTAGAATGTGCTTTATTCCTAGCAAAAGATTCTTCACGCTTAATTATTCTCTCTTTTTCAACTGTACAATCCCATTTTCTTCAGTAGGATTGCTCAGGTGCAACTAGGACTGAATTTGGACTTGCATTAAAAATGAATCCATGAAGAGTTACCTGGATTTCATTTTGTCATGCAACACATGCTCTTATCAGGTGCTCTTGCTAGAAGCTTCTCTGGGGAGTTTAATCAGTATTTTTGATAATTATTTGGAAAATCATAGTCAACAAAAACCTTAAGAATCTCTCAGGGCCAAGTTTTCAAAGGTGCTTCATCAAATAGACTGAAATCTCCATCTCATAATGAATTATGGGCAAAAATTCTAAAAGACCCCAAAGCTGTGGAAATAGTACTAGCATCTCTGGTTCCAGCCATCCAATTGGGTCATAAAAAAATTTACATCTTAGAGAAGAAAATTTTAAATATTGCTAGAATCTTTCCATCTGCCCCAACAGCAGCTCTGGGCAGATATATTAAAGTAATTAATTCACAGCCTTAGCAAATTATTATTTTCTCCCAATTTTAGGCAAATACCTGTTATTTAGAAATTACTGGCAGTGTGACTCTAAGAATTTACTTTGAGTAGATTTGGCAAGAGTTCTTCCAAATATTGATTCACACTTATTTTTTAATCTTTATTACACCACCACCCAGAGGACCTACTCAGATTGGGGTACTGTGTAAACATTACACAAAGACAGTCCCCTACCTTGAAAAGCTTAGTCTTTCCTCCTAGAATTCCACGCCACAAAATAAGGAAAGTAGAAAGGCCCATGGGCCTTTCAACATTTTATGTAGCAAATACAATATAAAGTGATCTTCTCTAAGAAGCATATTAATCAATTTTGAGTCCAGAATACCTGATGGCATCTCAGGAATAGTCAGAGAATTCCTGATGCTCTCATGTGCAGTCCTTTCTCACTGAAAAAAATCAAACCACAAGTCCCTAGAGATACAGGTAAATGTGGATGAAGGATCCTAGGTTGAGAGACAGTGTATATCTGTACCTGAATCTTGCTGAACTTTGCTATATTGGAAATTCTTTGTATCTAACTTGATCGGTAGGTGGACAACCATGAGATGGAATCAAAATCTCGTCTTAGTTTACCATAAACCTGTGTGTGCCTGAAGCATGGAGAGGGTCATCTTACATGCTTCCTTCCTGCAAGGTCCCTGACAATGTTGTCCTGATGAGTAGATTTTCTAAGAAATGGTACAGATGAGTTCCTAGACTCTTCATATGGATTATCACTGTTAACAGCTTGGTATACATCCAGGGGGCAGAAGACAGCTTGAAAATAATGGCTTTTTAAACTAACAGTAGTGATTTCTAGTGGTAAACAAGAAATATTACTGACAGGTCCTAATGGGAAAAACAGGTACATTTCTGGTGGCCTGATAGTCTGGAGAGAGAGTACAGAGATGGCAGAAGCTAGAATCTTTTCATCTTCACTGACCTGTTCAGCCTCTTGGAGTTCTAGGATATCCCAGGACTCCTCCCTAGTTCTTTCTTCCTATAAAGAAGAGCAGTGCCCTGAGATTCTTTCATCTTAAGAGAAAGACTACTGTCCCTTCAAGATGGTCTGATGTTTCTTGTGTCTCAAAGTGAAGAGAGAAGTAGTAAAGAAGGGGATTTGGAGAAGCCTGATGCTCTAGATAATCCAGTCTGCTAAGATCTCATAGCTGAATAGATTGACCCACCCCTTATGGCGGTGACTCTGGTGGAGTCTGATTAGTGTGGGTGGATACAGAAGCTTCAACAATTCTGAAATTCTGGCCTCTAAGTAGACTGTGTGCTGGGGGGAAAAACATGGCTCAGTGG